ATAATGAATTGTTTCAAAATTTGAATTACATTATATGAACGAAATTGGTTTTAAAATTTCATCAACAAAGTAATCAACGTAATACTGATCACATTTCGTAATTTTCATTGTATTGGTAGATGGATCCGTTACATTTAGATAACGAAAATTTTTCATTGTTTATTGAGTTCATAAAATTTAATAATACAACATGAAATAGTTTCATTGTCTTAACTGTTTATTGCGTTCATAAAATTTTATGATAAAACATGAAATTTTACTCATGGTTTGATGCGTCATTTGTTATTTCATGATATTGATAATGAACTTTATTCACTTTTCGCTAATGTTACAACCTTTTTATTCCTTATCCTGAAATTGTTTCAATGTCCTTCATACAACCATGTAAATATGCACCCTATTCATTATGAAATGATTTCAAGACATACCGGTTTCATAATGTATCCGTTTCAGCATGTAATTATTTCATGACGAACCACATACATTATTCACCCGTTTTATTTTGCATTTCAACGTCACTGAAACGAAATTCACCATCAAACAGTTCACTACTCATTGTTCAATTACGCCATGAACCAGTTTCACTTACATAAAACCTATTTCATGTAAATTAATTTCTTTATTTCCCTCCTGATTTAATGAATTCATTCCTTTAAGCCTTGCAATCATAAAGATTCTGGAGCATATTACAATCTTCAAGATTCTGGAGCATATTACAATCTTCGAGATTCTGGAGCAGTTTTTTCATGTACCCGTTTCATCATGCATTATTTCATGACGAACCAAATACATTATGCACCCGTTTCACTACTYATGTTCAATAACGCCATGAACCAGTTTCACCTTCATGAAACCTATTTCATGTACATTAAATTTTTTATTTCACCTCTGATTTGATGAATTCATTCTTTTAAGCGTTACAATCTTCAAGATTCTGGAACAGATTACAATATTCAAGATTCTGTAGCAAATTCATCATGTACCCGTTTCATCATGCAATTATTTCATGACGAACCAAATACATTATGCACCTGTTTCATTTTCCACTTCACCTACTAAATGAATCAACTACACCATCAATACAACGGGTTCACCATAAAAATGTTTCACTACTCATTTTTTATTTGCCACATGAACTAGTTCACCTTCATGAAACCTGTTTCATTTGTATTAATTYTTTTTGTCCAACTATGATTTGATGAATTCATTACATTATGGCTTACAATCTTCAAGATTCACCAGCAGATTCAATTGCATCACAATATATTTAGTTCAAATTTTAAATATTAAAATATAATTAAATATTTAAATGTTAACTTTTATAAAATTTACTTAATTACGTTTCCTTAATTAAGATTTATTAATATTTCTATATTTAATAGAAAATATTGTAAATGACCGAAATACCCTTATTGATTAAATTTAATTAGAAAGAAATGGAATTTTCCTATTGGTCGAAATTAGTTTACACGGTTTCTTAGAAATGCACGGTTTTCATTTGAACGTGCCCCTATATATCTATACTATCTTATAAAGCATTTGACTAAAACTATTAAAAACTCTTAGAACTCTTAAACCCGTTCATCCAAAACGATTTCATCCCTAAACGATTTCATCCCTATCCGATTTCATCCCATATCTGAATTCGTGTAACTAATTGTAAATAAACACAATCAAATACAGGATAAACACCTCATTTTTAATATAAAAAATCTAAAATATAATTAGGATAATCATTGAGTTCTAACATAATACTTAATTATTATCTTTATAAAATGTTGTATTATTAAACCAAAAA